ACTTCCAGTATCCCAACGAGGCTTTCAAGAGGCTCCACGACCTGATGGAGTTCAACACCCTCAACAACATAGATGTACGTTGGGAGGGTTTAAAGATTGTTCAGTGGGGGAGTGGGTGATGTGAGCAAAACCCTAAATGTTCCATACAGGCCTTTGCTTCAGTGTTTGCCTGACTTTCGTATTTGGTTCTTGTCTTGTTTTTGCCTTTTCACCATGCCAAACCATTCAGAGTAACTGAGCAAAAGGGACTTTGGGGGGGTGGAGATAATACGTTCAGGATTTTATACTCAGATTTTGAAGTGTGTTGATTTTTCTAACTGGAAAAAGAGGAAATTGGAAAATTCTTTATCAGCTGCTGAAAAAGATTTATTACTGGTTTCTTCATCAGTTATACTTCTAACTGAGTGATAATTATTTGCAGTTGACAGTGATCCCAACATCTGCAGAGTGACAAGTGTAAATGATCACCTCAGATAAAGACATGGGGAGGGGGTTATCCATTCAGTAAAGAAAATTGTTACATCAGGACAAAAGAAGGAGAAGTAAAGATTTAATCATTCTCAGTATTATTATCTGTAATAATATTGTATATTATTTTATTTATCCTTTAATAATAATAATTCTATAATTGATTTTATATCCTTTAAATATGGATTATCTCAATACTTTGATTTACCCTTCTGAAGTTCATTGGGACTCAGTGTAAATGCTGTATTTACACTGATTTTTTTTTTTACACACATTTTTGTGTGACTTCTTTGACATTGCTGGCCTCCCTCATACCTTTATTAACCACATTAAAATCAGTGTTTCATCCAATCAGGTAATAGTATTTTTGATAAAATTCGTCATTTTCAATGGAGTTAAAAATGGAAGCAAGAATTGTTATCATCAGAAGAGAGTTTTTCTCTCAGTTAATAAATATTTGTTGTGTGATCAACATTGGTGGCCTCCCTCATACTTTTATTGATCACATTAAAATTAGTGTTTTATACAGTCAGATAATAGTATTTTTAATAAAACTCATCATTTTCAATGGTGGAGCAGAGTTAAAACTGGAAGCAGGAGTTGTTCCCATCAGAAGGGGCTTTTTCTGCCAGTTAATAAATATCTGTTGCGTGACTTGACCTGATACCTTTACATTATTTATTACCTGATACCTTTACATTACCTGATATCTAAACATTAAAATTATTGTTTAATCCAGTCAGGTAATAGTATTTTTAATGGAACTCATCCATCCCTTTTGCTGAGTGGGGAGCAGTAGAAGGGGCAATTTTTTGAGGGGTCATTTTTGGGGGGGGCATTTTTTGGGGGCCGTTTTTT